TATCTCCATTAATTTATTTCCACCCCCACTGAGCTAGGCTCTTGCAATTTGGTACATTACAGGACACCAAGTAGAGGAAGACATCCCATGTACCAACTTGACCTTTGATGACCTCTGATGGAAGGGCAATTCCAGGACCCCTTTGAGCTACAGTCTGGAGATCTGGAGCACACTGTCCCTATGGGAGATGTCCCCAAAGTAACCTGTGATCCTGTCTGGCACTGTGGCAGGCCATCAGTGTCATGAGTACACCAGTTATGTCCATTCTTTCCATGTGGGAGCCATATTGGGCAGGGTGCTGTAAGGTATTCTGAGGTGCACAGCTCTATGGATCAGATTTTGGCCAAAAAAGTCATTAAAGGCGAGTGAGCGTGTGGCAGCCATGGCCACCCAAAGCTCAATGTCAGCATCATTGATATTAACTGGTGAAGTGCTGACAGCAGTCCTGCCAGGCTGGGGCTCCGAACAGGTTCTGAACACCCAGAGCCAGCTGGGAACACCAGTATTCCGGGGGGATCGCAAGCACCTCGTCTAAACCGGAATGTGGCACACTGAAAATAAGCCAGTCAGATGTGTTCGGATTGGGATCAGTCTCTCTTTCCTGCTTGGGAAGAGGCATGGATGGGGCAGGAGAACCAGGAGAATGAGAGGGTGGTTGTGACACAGGTGCTAGCTGGCAAAGGGTTTGCTGTTCTTTCCAAGCAACTCCTGTCTCAGACCTGACAAACTCACCACACCTAATACACCACTTTCATAGCATTTATCCATATAGGATAGCATGTCTCCACTGAAAGCTGGTAACTTATCAATACTCCTTGTGAGATGTGTGTATGGGTTGTATTTAAGGAATAATGTAACTATGCTGAAAATTATGCCCTTATGGCCTTGGAGTGAAAGTGAGGCAGCAGGAAATCATGTGTCTTGGTGATGGCCCATTCAAGCAAGAAGGAATTGTCACCCCTCTCTGGCTAGCTAGTTGTGTAACGTATTGCTCAATTGTCTACCACTGCAACAACTTAGAAAAGTCAATGGAAAACCATCAAAGAGAACGATAAAGATCAAAACCATTTGGCAGTGAGGAGGAACCATATGACAGCGAGGGGATCGCCTTGTCTATGAATAAAGAGAAAAGACTGATTCAGTATATCACGGGGTAGAGAAAGACACTCTGTATCCATTCACTGAGGAGGCAGCTGGACAAGCAGGGGTGCTTCATGAAAGACTGGGTTGTGGCTCCTTGGGGCCAGCAAACACTGTGAAAGTCTGAACTTTGGGGGTGAGAATCTACATTATTAGCTCAGAAAAGGAACTGGTAATAAGAGCCAGCACTACTTCATGTGTGATTATTTTGCTTTGTATGTAACCATTGGTTTCCATCATTAACACTTGTTTCTATTTCAATCTCTCTTCTTTCTTAAACAAATTTCCTTTTGTTTTACTCTAACTGAACTGGGGTAGTGTCCCTTTGGGAATGGAGGCTCTGGGATTTCTGTGGGTATCACGTGATCAGGGCAGGACACCACAGGGGGAGCTTTGAAGGGACTCAGGGGCTGGGTGCATCTATTGTCAAGGGGCAGGACTGGCATAGCCCAGAGGTGAGCGTTTGAGTAGCTTGGTTTGTCAGGGAGATGACACCCAGCTGGCACAGGTAAGACTCCCTCACGCTGGAGGCAGGGGGCACCAAAGTGACTCACAGCTCTGGTGCCCCAAGAAGTGTCACAATGACTTTCCCACCTTGGGAGCGGGGGGCAGATTCTGATCAGCTCCTGAGAGGCCCAGCTTACGACAGGATCTCTGAGCATGGACGCTCACACGAGTTAACAAGCTCCAGAAGGGCATGGACCGTGTATCAGCAGAGCATTCTGGACAAGCTGTTCCTTTAGGCCACATTTCCTTGGAGACAGTGTCAAATAATGGTATCACTACTATTCGCTGCGCATCAAATTTAAGGGTGCTCTACCTCCCCGGACCCCACAAGGGCATCTTTCGTGGACTTCTCATCCCCATCACGGACAGACCTATCTACCTCCACACACAGCACGAGACAGGAGAGTTTCAAGCAGGGGACTGGATTAGAGGACCTCCTGAAGTCTCTTCCAACCCTAATGTTCTATGATTCTAAGCACAGATACAAATCCAACCCCTGTCCCCTCCCAAAGGAGCTATAAAATATCTGACCACAGAGGAACATCAAGGCCTGCCAAGGTTGGGCTGAGGCCAATTCAGAGGGGTTTAAAAAAACACATCAAAGTGACCCGATTGTTATAATTCACCTGGATTTTCAGAAAGGTTCCGAGCTGGCCCCTCACAAGAGGCTGTTAAGGAAAATGATCAGGAGGTAAAAGGCAAAGTCTTGCTGTGGCCTAAAAGCCGGCTACAGGATAGGAAAACAAAGCTCTGTAGTGAAAAGCCTGAAGAGGGGACGCCCCAGGGCTGGTGTTGGGAATGCTGCTCTCCTGGATTAATGCAAGATGGGGAGGAGGACACAGACAGGAAGTGGGTGACATGCACTGATGACACTGGGTTGCTTTGGCCGTCTCTCCTGTGAGTTTATGGGAGAAGACTCGGTCTCTGGGGGTAGGTCTACACTTACCCGGTAGTTCGGCGGTGAGCGATCGGCCCAGCCCCCTCGCTCCCCTCCCCCAGCCTGGTGACACCGGCATCGGCCCAGCCCCCTCGCTCCCCCCCCCCGGCCTGGTGACACCGGCATCGGCCCAGCCCCCTCGCTCCCCTCCCCCCGCCTGGTGGCACCGGCATCGCCCCCGGGCCCTCCC